TCCACCTTCAACTTTCCTCTCTTCCCCTATTCTTCATCCAAATGAGCAGCCAAAAGACAACAACCAAAACCGGCGCTCGAATATGCGTGGTTAATGGTTGTTAAAACTGAAAATTGGTACACTGCAGCCACTTATTCCGGGACATGAAGGTGTTTATCTCTGAAATAGCTCGTCATTGTGTTGTAATCAGAATATAGATGAACACGCACGTGCATGAAACGGAGAAAAGCCGTGTGCGTGTGTGTGCACAAGAGTTGGTTTCCAGCTAACCATTCAAAACAGAAATTATGATTTGTGCCTTTTAAAAGAAAAAAATATTAGAACTAAGCACTAGATATGCGGGAAAATCGAATGAACTGACCAGAGAACAACATTCCAAGCGATGACCATTTTGTGTATTGAAATTAATAGTCACACTGTGTAGTTTTCAAAACACAAAATGACAGATCTTGTTTGAATCAGGGCCTCGGGCTAAGCCTAAAAAACCCATATATCGAGATATGTGTTTACCACTTTGTCCGGATGCCGAGCAAGGATGCCCAATAGTAACGCTGCAAACGTGATGGCACTGTCCACATTATACGCGAACTGATGTTCCGCCTGAGAGATTGCTGCAGAAAAAAGACATTGCCATGCGTAGATTTGACCCAGGTCATCTGGAAGCAATTCGGAGAGGGATATCATGCCCGAAGACGAAGTTTCAGCTGACAGCGTGGTTACGGTGCCAGATGACTTCACCGGATTACCCTCGAGAAACGTCAGAAGATAATTCATCCGATCTAAACAGTGAGCGGGATCGGAACGGATCACCTATAATAGGAATAGAACAAATGAAAAAGGGTGGCGTTATCGAACGAGCGAAGTAGGATAAAAGGGACACATTTGTGTAAGGGTGTGACAAACAACAAGAGAAATAGATACGAAGTATTCAGTTCAGTTTGTACAATCATTAACCATGCACTTTCGTGCGCCGGTTTTGGTTGCTGTCTTTTGGCTGCCCGCTTGGATGAAAAAGTGGAGAAGACAGGAAGTATTGGAAACCGGTTCTCGTAGCTCGGGTGAACTGAATTCACTTTCATCCGTTCAACGAGCTTGGCAATGCGTTTCCCAGCCGAGGTGAAATCTTCGGTGCTTGTGTAGTGGAAGTGTTGTGCTTGTACCCGTTCATTTACGTGTTCTTCTCCACCGACCGGTTTTGTTCTTTGTTCTCACTGTGTTCGACCTGGATCGCTATTGAACTGGTGCGAATGAGTGGGGCGGTGTTTTTTGGTTTTGACTTCGGTTTCGGTCCGCACTCAGGTCAAGACACTTTGGAGAAGATTAATTTTAAGTGATGATGGAGAACGAAAGCTAAGAGGGCACTAGATTTGGGTCGTTTATAACTTGCCTCAGATTACACCTAGGTTCTGAGAACCTTCATGAAACAATTCGCGATCACACTGGAACAATTAAAGAGGTCATATAAACTCGCGAAAATCGATGCATGAATGAGCACCGGGATCCCGCAAACATTGTCATTATTTACAAGTTATGCATTGGATCAGGACACGTACCTGACTGCATGCGCAGCCAACCATTCGTTTGACGCACAGTGTTTGTTTGCGTAGGTTGTAGTCGGACAGCAGTGGATACAGCAACTGAGTGGACTGGTCGGCGAGTTCTTTGGCTTTTTGTGCATTTGGAATGTTCTGAAAACGAAAAAACGAACAAACAAGTGTATAGCGTGAAAAGCGGAGCTTCAACAGAAGTATCGTGAGTAGAGATGCGTGATACGTCGCTTTTCTGGTTGCGACTGACCATCCTTCAGACTATTTTCATCCACAAGTCCCCGTTCTTCCGGTTAATCACAATCGAGCTTCGCTCTCATTGGAGCTCATCAGTAGTGAATATCCTCCGTCCCGTCCGGGATTTTAATTCCAGAGGCATTGGATAGAATTCGTGTTACTACTGTGTCAATCAGCTTATAATCGGGCTGAAAACAACTACCGGTTCAAGTTTGCTCAGGTCTGGGTCATCAGAATACAGTATCACTAAGTCCACTTTTATCGAAGGAGTTACCGTTTCAGTACAACTTCAAATGGAAAAACAGATTTTTACTACTATGGTAGACCAAGTAAACCTTCACTTCACCGACAGCCATCTGTCTCTAATTAGTGAGTATCTACTTGGTCAACTTCATGTAAGAGATATCTGATGGGAGTAGCACCTCTGAGTATGCAGAGTATTAATTCTATTGAAGCACGTTCTATCTCTTTGATCTCCATCATTAATCCAATTGTCAACTGGGGAACCAAAAAGCCTAGGCATGTATTAGTGGCCACAACCCGGAAAAACGCTC